AGGAGAGAAAGGCCGGTTAGGCCTGTGTGGCTCCTCTGACTCTCATGTCCTCTGGTCCTTCTCTGGGGAGGTGAGCGGGTGGGGAGCAGGCTCTGGGGAGCAGAGGGTGTGAGGGCCAGACCCTGGAGGATAGAAGTGCTGGGCTGGGGTCTGGAACAATTCTCTTCCACAGCAGTTCTTGAATGTGTGTTCCTTTTGAAAGCCTTGGGCTGCCCTGGGCAGGCAGGCTTCTGTCCTGTGTTCGGCAGTGATGATGGTGAGTGTGACCGGCAGGTATGTGGACCTCTTGCCTAGCGTGCTCTTCTGCCTCCTTCTTTATGCCTCCTTCTCCAGCAATGCGAGTTGTGCTTCAGCGTCGAGATGACAATAGGAACCATGACTGTGTGCTGGTGTCTGTGTGTTGGGCACTTTGAAAGGGCAGCGTCAGTGTATTCGGCGGATGCTGACTGAGTGCTTGCTGCGGGCCAGGCACTGTGCTGGGCAGTGGGAGCGCAGTCGTGAGTGAGCAAGCTCTGTTCCTGCCCCCAAGAAGGTTAGGGACACTGTCGTCTACTCATTGGGCAACCTCCTGTCCCGCCTTGCTTGGGACTTTCAGGGCTGAAACTGGGAAAATCCTGGGCAAACCGGGACATTTGGCCACCTTGTGTAATCAAGATAGCAGTAAGAGGATGTTTCTTGTGGCATTTAGTGGTGGCCAAATCCAGGTGCTGGATGGGAGGGCGGGGAGGTTTGCAAACTCTTTCCTCAACGAGGTGTCTTCTTTTCACCACATGGGAGGTAGAAGATGCCGAATTTTATAGAGAAAGACACCTAGGTGATCATTTCTTCTGCCACCCTCATTCTAGGATGGGACATACAGAGAAGTGAAGTGGCCCACCCATGGTCACGTGGCAGCTTGGGGCGGAGCTCGGCCTGGGTGGCTTCATCCACCCTCTAACACTCTTTCCCTAAAAACGGGCCCATCTTGTCTTTCTTTTCTTTTCTTTTTTTAAATTTTTTAACACTTTTTATTTATTTTTGAGACAGACAGACAGACAGAGACAGAGACAGAGACAGAGACAGAGCAGGAGTGGGTGAAGGGCAGAGAAAGAGGGAGACACAGAATCTGAAACAGGCTCCAGGCTCTGAGCTGTCAGCACAGAGCCCGACGCGGGGCTCGAACTCACGGACTGTGAGATCATGACCTGAGCTGAAGCTGGATGTTTCACTGACTGAGCCACCCAGGTGCCCCTCACCTTGTGTTTCTTATCCTGCCCAGCCTTCCCCCCTCTCTGCTCAGCCACATCCATATTTGGGGTTAGGTTCAAATAAACTGAAGTGTAAGGGAGCTTGCCTCCAGGTGTAGAGAGAGAGGCCAGGGCAAGGCAGCTGTTGCTGGAGGGACCCTGAGTGGCTCCCAAGAGAGAAAAGGAGGAAGGATTTAAGGAGGTCAGGACGTTTGGCCTGGAGGGATCACTTAATTACAGTACAAAGAAACTTAGAACTGCTGGAGACAGAATGTGAGGAACTGGGGCCATAAGTTCGGGGGAGGAAGGACCCCGCTGGTGGAGAGAGGCCCTGACTCTCTGACCCAGGGAGGAGGTTTGCAGAAAAAAAGGAACCCACCGGGGTCAGTGGCATGCATATAAAATGTCTGCTTTCTATAAAATAAACAGCCCTGTTAGCTCTGTTTAATTCCAAAAACCTACTGTGTGGGCAGACTCTGGTTTAAGGATAGAAGATAGCTCAGCAGCAAAATACAGCCCTGGTTCTTGGGGGGCTTGGTTATAGTGGGGGAGGCAGACAATAAACACACACCATTATGATGTATTGCACTAGGTGTTCCATTCAGAAGGGCCTGCGTAGAAAACCCTTATGTTCAAAGGAGTCTTTCACGTGGAAATGGTGATCAGAGTTTAGCTTGTAAAAGAAAACATTTCCATTCTGCTTACGGAAAGGCCATCAGGAGTTGACCCATAGCCCTGGGGGTTCAAACCGTCTAGTGGGCCTGGCCGATACTGGGAGAAATTCAACTTGGTCTCCTTGGGAGGGGGTAAATGGGGAAGGGAAGAAGGGAAGGGAGTAGAGGGTTGTTAACCCGCGGCTCAGGAAAACCCCTACGAACCACCTGGATCTCTGGTTAGTGGGGCTCTGAGGAACCCTCTGGAGAAGTGCTACCAGACACAGGGTCACAGTCTGCACGGCTGGTGGGGTTAGTGGGAAGGATTGCCAACATGTACCACCGTACCCACCTTACTGGGAGCTGTGCACTGCACTTCATAAAAAACCAATGATACAAAGTCACGTGCCAGCAGTTTGGCCATGTATTGTATTATTTTTTAAATGCAGTCAGTGAGTGGGTTGTATCTTGATGCTTTTGTGAGTTTTCATGCCTACGGAAAGGTCAGCTGCTGGTCTTGATAGATATAAATAGGCTCTAGCCAGGGACGCCTGGGTGGCTCAGTCAGTTGAGCATCCAACTCTTGGTTTCAGCTCTGGTCATGATCTCCCGGTTGTGAGATCGAGCGCTGCGTTGGACTCTGTGCTGGGTATGGAGCCTGCTTTGGATCCTCTCTCTCCCTCTTTCTCTGCCCCTCCCCCACACGCATGCATGTACCCTCCTTCTCTCTCTCTCAAAGTAAATAAATAAACACTGAAAAAAAAAAAAAGAACACTAGCTAGAGGAATGGACTTTTGGCCACAAACTTTCTGATGGCTGTTCGAAAAATCATTTTCACAACAAGAAAAAATTTTTTTGGAAAGGGTCTTGATGAGCTTAAGGAGGCCTTCCAGTCTTTGTCCTTCATTAAAGTCCCTCCCTCTACCTCCCCACCCCCTTCATCCCTTCACTGCACTTCCATGAGCCAGTTGCTTTTCTCTGGTCACAGCACTATTCCCTCAGCCCCACCAGGCCTTTGCACGACTTGCTTTTTCATACCATTTAAGAGTGTAACTAAATCTGTCCTCCTCCCAGAGCCCTCTTCTGACGACTCCTTCTGGAACAGCTGCCAAGGCATCACGCTGTCCTCTTACCCTGCTTTACTTTTCATCTCAGTACTTACATGAAATTATATCATTTGTTTGCTTCCATGTTGACCTGTTTCCCCTGTCAAAGTGTAAGTGCCGTGAGGACAGGTACTTTGTCCTTGTCCTGCTGTGCCCTTATTGCCTACAAGAGTACCTGCTTCATGGAAGAAGCTCAATAAATATTTATTCCATTAAATACAAGAATGAATGCCTTCTACGATGCAAGTCTGTCAACCTGGTGGTTTTATTAACATTTTAAGTATGAAAATAACATAGACACAAAGATGGGGACAAAACATAAGAGCCTCTTAAATACAGAGAACACACTGAGGGTTGCTGGAGGGGGGTGGGGGAGGGGGAGGGTCCAAATGGGTTAAAGGGCATCAAGGAAGACACTTGTTGGGTTGGGCACTGGGTGTTATACATGGGGGATGACTCGCTGGAATCTACTCCTGAAATCATTATTGCACTATATGCTAACTAACTTGTATGTAAATTAAAAAATAAATAAAATAAAATAAGATAAAATAAAATAAAATAAAATAAATTGTAAGTATGAAACAGATTTGGGAAGAGGCTCAACTCTTTTCCTTCCCCCACTTCTCTTTGGTGAGAGAGAAGGAGAGCTGGAAATAGAATGGAGAAGTTTCTGTAAATTTCTGGTAACCATAGAGACGGTGATTTTAGTTTATTAATCTCCTGCTCTTAAGCAGGCTGGGGCCCCACGGTGATTTCTCCAAATTGCTCAGCCCTGGTTATCCTGCAGCCTTCCTCATTAAGGAAGAACAGGCCCATTCCTATCCTGCAGCACTTTAATTGCCAACAAGCAGAAGCTCTGTACCATTATGCTCGTTATTGCATGTTCTAACCTGGTTGCACCTCCCACTTTGGAGCCATACACCATGGTCACCAGCCCTGAACTCCTGGAGCCTCCAGTGGCAGGTGGTGGGAGTAGACAGCCTCCTCTCTGAGCCCAGGGCCTATAATTGCTGCTCTTTCCTTTTGTTCAACTGTCCTGAAGACAGGAGTCCATGCCTTCTGGAATAATGTTTCGTTTCAGCCCGAGCATGGCACCCATCATGGTTTCTTGCCCATAAAGGTGATGCTTACAGTACTTGTGTGTTCCTCTCCCTACTGGGAATAGCATGTAGACTTTTAAGATTATGCTCCAAGTCGTTTGGGAAAGAGACCTCCAAATGACTTCAGGGTTTCAGGACAACTAGGGGGGGAAATGAGACAGTTAGAGGTAGTCTCTCCAGCAACCATCTTTCCCTGAGGGAAAAACCAGGTATAGATGTCAGAAGACCATAGTGTGATTCTATCTTGGCAGCTGATTCACAGTGGGGACTCAATCTCTCTGAGCCTTAGTGACCTCCTCTGTGAAATGAGACGAGACCTGTCATTCTGTCCCTCATTTGTGTAGAGACTCTGACTGTAGCTTCAACCTGGTCTGGAGTCTGGTTCCTGGTGATGAATGAGAGGTAGGAGAGGCCCAGGCAGTATGCCTTCTGCAGTGAGACAGAGTGGATTCTGGCAGAAGTCACTGGAAGGGCACATCTTTTTCTCCCAAAGAAGATCATCTAAGGTCTGCTCTTACCTAGATGTTGGCTGCCATTTTGAAAAAACAAAGACTTTCCGTTGGTTGCATTTTCTATCCTATTGGGTTTAGAAAGATTGAGCCATTCTTCTAACAAACACTCGGTGACTACCTGCTGTGTTCCAGGTACTACACTGGGTGTTTACGGCACAACTATTCAGCTGGGATGATTATTGACAAATCCAGACTCTGTTGTGGTACAAATCCATTTTAATGGTTGTGAGTCTGTTATATATTTAGGGCTTGTCTTAAGTATCAAAGAAGAGGCCCTGGGAAGAATCTGGACTCCTGAGCCCTCCAGCAAAGCTGGAGCCAAGACATGGGGTGGGTCAGTACCTGGGGTGCCCCGCATCTGAGTCACGGACAGATCCAAGAGCCTGGCTTTTCTTCTTTGTAGGTGCCGCAACCTCTCCTTCCCCGATAGCCTGCCAGAGGTGAGCATCGTGTTCATCTTCGTCAACGAAGCACTCTCAGTGCTACTGCGCTCCATCCACTCAGCCATTGAACGCACACCTCCACACCTGCTCAAGGAGATCATCCTGGTGGATGACAACAGCAGCAACGGTGAGTGCCTAAACTCCCTTGAGCCCTGTACCCTGCTCTGTGCCTGACATCTCAGCAGAGGGTTGAGCCTCTGTTGGGGGGGCAGTTCTCATTTTTTAAGGCTCTCTACGACTGCTCCTTCAATGAGATGTTGCTTCAGAGATGAGAGATTCTTGATGGTCACGGCTCTGGAAGGTTCACTCCATAGGTGTACCCTCTCTGCATCTTGAAGGGGCCTGGTCCCTAAGCTTTTCCTCATTGGCTGTCCACTCTCTCCTCTAACATTCTAGTGCAGTGTAGGATAAAGAGCCCTGACCCCCACCCCCACCACATGCACGGTGAACATTGCACCACGTGCACAGCGACTCTTTTCTGTGAAGCATCATTTCAGTTTGTGGTATCCCTTGGCCTCTTCCTGGAAGATTGTTGGTGTTGTCTCAGCAGTGGTGCTGATGATAGCAGAGGTGTTGATGGTGCTGGGTGTGGCGCTGGTTTGCAGGGGTCTCGATGGTGGGGCTGGTAGTGGGCGTGTAACACGGTGGCAGCAACAGAGCTGTAAAAAGTCTGTCCTCTTTGCTGGATGCCCTGCTCCCTGTTCCATCCGGCCTCCGCAAAGCCTCGGGTGGCCCACAAACACTTGTTGAAGCCCTTACCCCTTCTCTCTCCCCTTCTCCAGCCATGCTACCAGCTACCTCTTTCCCTTGGGGCACATTCTGGGGCCTCTGATACCTACATATACCAACCACCCCATAACATTTTCCAAACTTAGAGACCAGGTACTGAGATGGTTTTAAAACCAGTGCTCTTGATAGGATGATTAATATGGATGTGCTTTGGATAATGCACGATACTAAATACTAGGCTGCTAGGGCACGGGATCAGAGAGTCACTGAGCCTGTGTTATCTTTAGTGCTTTCTCTGGTGTCAGGTAGTAAATTTTCCAGTGAATCGTTGCTATAATGAGAAATTCAGATGGGCAATTTGTGTTTTGTTATCAATTAAAGCTGAAACGTATCAGATAATTGAAATATATTTAATCTCAATAAGCAAATTTTCTTTTTCATTTTATCACCATGTAGTAAGAAGTGTAGAGCAGCGCTGTGAAGCGGATTTTAGAGCTTTCTGAAGGGCAGTGCTTATGGATCACTTGACTCTAATTGTTCCGTGGTTGTAAAGGGAGGAAAAGACATCAGAGAGTGGTAGCAAACAGGCAGCATAGTTTTAAAGGTGATTGTTAATGCAGGAGACAGGAAGGGGCCCAGCCTCTGCTTCTCACGGCTACTTGCTATTATCTGGCCTGTGTCCATGGAATGGATGCCTGAGCAAGGGGAGAACAGCTTGACTAGCCCACCCGTGCACCCTACCTTGCCGCACCCAGGCCTGCTGGCCCCTCTCCTCTTACATGTGAGAAGGTAAGGGATGAATGAGCCATCCTTTCAAGGGTGAGGACATCCCCCAGTCACGAGGCATCCTGAGGCTCTGTTGTGCTATAGAGGTGGGTATGAGGATCAAAGGCAAGATACTGGCCAGAGAGATATTATGAAGGAAGCATCTTCCGGATCTCTTGACTAATAGGCTATGGGCAGATGAACCAAAGGAGGGCTAGCGAATTATGGCTCAGTTTCAAGCCAGGGTGGCTCTGAGGATGATGGTGCCTTCCCAGGAGAGGGAAGAGGAGGAGCGGTGGGGTTCTTCAAGGATGGAAGCTTTCAAACCCTGAGCTCTAGGGAGTATTATGCTGATGGGAAAGTTAAGAATCATGACTATGGTGGTAGTTACCCAAAGCTACATGTGACAAAATTGCACAGAACTACATACCCACGCCCAAATGGGTACACATCTTACTGGAGAGATCTGAAAAGCTCCGCGGATGGGGGCAACATCATATCACAGTGTGATATTGGACTGTAGTTGTGTAAGATATTAACGTTGCAGGAGGCCGGGTGAAGGTGTGTGGAACCTCCCTGTACATTTCTGTGTACTTTCCTGTGTTATCTGTAATTACTTCAAAATATAAAGGCTGAAACAAACATCTCTCTCAGAAGATTCTAATTCAGTAAGTTTGAGGTGGAATCTGGCCATCTCTGTTTTGAAAAGCATTCTTGGGATGCCTGGGTGGCTCAGTTAAGCATCTGACTCTTGGGTTCAGTTCAGATCATGATATAGTTCATGAGTTCAAGCCCCGAGTCTGGCTTTGTGCTGACAGAGCAGAGCCTGCTTGGGATTCTCTCTCTGTCTCTCTCTCTGCCCCTCCCCTGCTATGTGCACACACGCTCTGTCTCTAAGTAAATAAACATTTAAAATAAAAATAAAAAAGTAAAAAGCATTCTTAATGGCTGTGTTGCATAGCTCTGGTTGAGAACCTCTGGTTTAATGGGTAAGATGTAGCTTTGCTCTTGTACACATGAGTTCCAGTCCATGATGTGAAGGGAAAGAACTCTGAAGTCTCGAGACATGGGCTGTAGGGTCCTCTCCACCATTGGATGAGTGACCATGATGTCTCAGAATCTTCATTTCTTCCTTTGTAAAATAGGAATAATAATCGTCCCCGTTTGCTTCACCTGCCTGACACAGTCAAGCGAATGACCAAATTGAAGGCCATCAGTGTTTACCCCTACCCACCCCGCCCCCGCATTCCCAGGAGACTGCCACATAGCTCGCCAACTACACAGCTGGAGCTCCAGAGAGGGAACCGTGGGAACGTGAATTTGGAGTCTTATGCACAGAATAATTGAAGCCACTGCCTGGGAGGAGATGGTGGCAAAGAAAAGAGGGAAGAATAAAAATAGAAGCTTGAGAGAATACTGAGCATGAGACATTAAAGAGTCAGGAGGAAGAGGGTTAGCTGGTGAGAGACGGAACGGGAAAGGGCAGGAGAAATCTGGAGGATGACGGATTCCTTGGACAGAGAGAATTCCAGAAGTGAGAGTCATTTATTTGAATGAACCCACAGACGGTGGGAGCACGCAGAGTCTGGGAAGAAGCCTCCGTATTTGGAAGGTGCAGCAGGAAGCTTTAGGAAAGTATTGGGGATGGGGGCTATGGAAGCCATTTAAAGATGAAGAGCAGACAGGGAGGTAGCTTTTCTCTGTCAGGGATTTTGGCTGCAAGAGAGAATCAGATCCTAATGATTCTGGAGCAATGTTTCTCACTCACACACACTTACACACGCTTACACAAATTTTAACCATAATCTGTAGTAAGAAATACGTGCACATCATGACCCAGGATGACACACGTACTCACACTCATACAATAGCACACGCTATTGAAACAAAACTTTTAAGAAACAATAGTTAGCCTTCTAATGTGTGAAGCACGGTGATATTTTCTATTATAGTCTGGTTTATGTTATTCAGTTGTATTGCACTATATTGTATGGTATGGTATTGTATTGTATTGTATTGTATTGTATTGTATTGTATTGTATTGTATTGTATTTCTTTTTTTGAAAGGCAGGTTGTTCTCAAGACCCTGACTGCACATTAGAATTGCTCGGGGAGCTTTTACACAATCTGGGTGGCCATCTCTTGGCTCTGGTAATTCCATTGGTCTGGGGAGGGGGGGTTGCCTGTGGCCTTTGAGGCCAAGGCCTCTGAAGGGGGAGGAGAGGAGGGGATCCCGGGCACAGAAGTGAGGGCTGCCTCTGGGAAGAAAGGGCCCATCTCTGTACCACTCAGGAGAAGCAGATGGGTGAACAGGGAGATAGCTGGAGGCAATGAGGGGTACAAGAAGGGGTGCCAGGAGGCTGGCAGAGTAATAGTGCTCAGTCTCAGTATCCTACAGCTTTTACAAGACCTTGGGTGGGTGGGGGCATGTTGGGAAGGGGACTGGTGGCAGCTGGGGTTGCCCTGTGTGGAATGGGGCAGGGAGGCGATCCGGAATGGGTCTCCTCAAGACCAGTCTGAGCTGAGCTCTCAAGAAGGGCAGAAAAAACCCTGGAGACTGTGGCCCTTGAAAGAGGTGAGCCATCATGCTTAGCAAAGGGCTTGAGGACCCTTCAGACCAGACCAGCCCGACTTGGGGGAAGGTGGCTAGGACGATATCCTCCTGCTCAGGCTCCATTTGGGGCCTGCTTCTCTTGGGCATCATCTCGCTCAGCACAGAGCGAGATGTTTATTTCATGTCAGGCCAAGTCAGTACAGTTCCACAGATGTTTATGGGGCACCCAGCCTGGGCCAAGAGCATGACGGGAATCTAGCCCCTGACATCAGAGAGTCCTGCAAATAAATAAAAGGATATGAAACCTAATAGGATTCCTGTTTCTGGTCTCAGGTCTGCCACTTCCTGGCCGTGGGTCCTTGCCTTGGTTTTATGTGCCCTGTGGGGATTTCAGGCCCTGCCCTACCTGCCCCATAGTCACCAAGGATAATGACAATGGAAGTGAGTGACAGTGAAGTAATGGCAGTGAAAGGGCCATGTAAGCTGCAAGGTGTGAAGGGTGCCCCCAGGGTGAGTCTAAATGACAATAACAACAACTGCAACAACAGTAATAATAACAGCTGATGTGTAACCACTACTTAAAGGCAACTCTTGCTTTTCTCTCCCTCCTGAAACAGTATGCTCTGGTGGGAAGAACGCAGAAATGGGCCTTCGGCCAGCTTTTCAGTTCCAGCTCTTTCTAGCTTCTTCCTGGCTACGTGCTCTTGACCTCTGTGAACCCTATTTTTCTTATCTGTAAAACTGGGACGTGGAATTCCTACCTCAGGAGTTGTTCAGAGGCTTGAATGCGATAAGGCATGATGGAAGGGGCATCTGTGTTTGCAACTCTAAATGAAGCGGGAGTATAGAGCCTTCCGGACATCTCCCCAGACAGTGTCACGCGTTGTGTGTGTGCTGGTACCTCGTGTCCCCCAAGCCCCTCCTCCACAGGCATTTCTTTTGCCTTTTTTTAAAAATTGGTTTCAAGAGTAGAATTTAGTGATTCATCGCTTACATATACCACCCAGGGCTCATCCCAACAGGTGCCCTCCTTAATGCCCATCACCTGTCTAGCCCAGCCCCCCGCCCCCCACCTCCCC